AAGTTTTCAAGCTATCTTAGAAGATCCCAACAAAAAGGTTTTCGATACATAACAATTGCTAATTGACGAAGTTCTCCAGATCTGTCTCACACGTAACATGTAGCTGCATATCCATCCTTTTCAAGTTCTGTATCGATTGATCCACTCCTGACATCTGATAAGTGAGCTACACCTCATGAAAGCTTCTGCCCCTTAATATTTTTTTTTTAGTTTGAAACAGTGCTGCCAGACTGAGGAGTTAAGAGAGAGGTGGCAATTTCTAACCAGAAGCATTTATAGCATAGTGTCATAGCACATGAACTATCTCTTTAGCCTCCCACAGGCAGGACAGGAGCTGCAGATGGTGTAACACTCAAACCTGAGGACCACTGGAAGTATCTGAATGTATGGATGGACGGTCTGATTTTTATGCCGGTTTCAATAAAGCTCTTCCACTTTCAGCTGGCTCTTTTACAAACCACACTAATGATAACAAGTCAGCCATAGGCAAGGCTTCTTGGAGAAGCGGTCCTTGGTCCGTTTTTTTTCTCCACGAAACCAAGCCTGGCACCATGATGTTAAGGCAGGGGTCCCCAATGAAGATGTTAAGGCAGGGATCCCCAAACTTGGCAACTTTAAGACTTGTGGACTTCAGCTACCAGAATCTGGGAACTATGCTGCTGGACAATTCTGGGAGTTGAAGTCCACAAGTCTTAAAAGTTGCCAAGTTTGGAGACCTCTGTATTAAGGCGTTCGATGCTGAGCAGATTACCCTTGAAGAAATTGCACCTTAGCGCTAACACTGCAGGCAGCAAAGCAAAACGTATTTTATTTATTTATTTATTTGTCAAGCGATTATAAGATAACAGGTATAAGTATAAACATAGTTATGAACACATGAAATGGATCCATATAAGAAAAATAAAAAAGGAACAATAGGACAGGGACGGTAGGCACGTTGGTGCTCTAACGCCGGGCGGCTTTTCATGGCTAAAAATATCTCCGTGCGTATCTGCGGGTCGAGGTTCAAAGGGCTCGTAGCTCAGCCACCTCTCCTTGCTGGCATCCGGTTCTCCGTTAAGGCCTCCCTACCAGACTGTCTCGACGAGGGTCCAGGCGTGCAACGATCGGAACGTGGCTGCCATAACAACGACGCAAATTGAGGCCAAAAGAATCCCGGTGGGCAAGCTTGCGATTGGCCAATTCTGGGCGCTCGTTCTCTTTTCAGCCCCACCCGCCGGAAGGCTTAGAGTTGAGCTCGGCCTTGGCTGTCGCTACGGCAGGTTCGCTCGTCCTCTTTTTTCCGCGTTTTTCATTAGCGCTTTTTTGGAAACCCGCTTTTTTGGAAACCCGCTTTTTAAACTAGTTTCGCCTGCCCTTAATAGCAGCTGTCAGTGATAAAGGCGAATGAATGTTTTAGCTTTGTTCTTTTTTAAATACCTCGTCTTGGATTTTAGGCAAATAATGCTTAAATAGTCCAGCTGCTCCCAAGTTTAACTTGCTTAATGCCTTTCCCTCAGACTCCTCACTGCTTTGTATAATAGTTTTATAAACTCGCCTATGTTCAAACGATTTCCTAAAATGACCTGAGGCATTTAAAACTCTATTTTGCTTATCTTTTGATATCAAGAATAACAACTACACTGCAAATAGAAGTTCAGGAAGCACATCTATGACCAGTTCTTAATACAACTCACAACAGGTGCATTTCCCTAGTTAGCTGTCATAAAGTGCAAATATCTCCTATAAAATTATAAGCAATGTCCTGGTGGATTGGATCCTGGGTATTTAATTCAATAGCCTGTTCTTATGATGACCAAGGGAGCCCCTCTGGCCTCTCTGCAGACAGCTGCCCTGCTAAGGAAGATGTAGGGCACTGAGGTGCTTCCTCTCCAGAATCTTCCTTGCTGTGAAGGGAATCCAGGGAATATTGGAAAGATGCTGTTAGTAGAGATTGGTTTCTGCCCCATCAGACATAATAATTATATATCTGGAACTTAAAATACAGAAGATCAAAAAAATTGATAGGAGCAGTACAGGAAATGATTGACTGAGAAAGCATCTTGGATTTTAGTACCTGCTTCAAACCTGGACTTACTTCAAATGTTAGCTTATCAAATTTGATAAGGACATTGTTTTCTTTCAAATTATGTTTAATAAGGCAATATTTTCCATCTTGCATTATAGGCAAAAGGGAATCACTCCACCCATTTTCCTTCACTCTCTTTACTCATTTCAGCTATCTTGATGATGAATTCCTAGCCACAGAGGCATTGTTTTCATAAAGCACATATGTAGTGACTAAAAAACATGTGTGTGGGCAAGACAGAAAGATCCAGACTCCCCAGGATCACAGTAGAAACTCTCCAGAGAAGTGGTTTAAAAACCCATGTCTCGTAGAGGGAAATAAGGTAACTCCGTGGCAAGAAAAGCCCCAAAATGCTAGAAAGGAGGCTAAAAGAATCACATAAAAATAGAGTTGAAAGGGACCCTGCAGATCTTCTAGTCTAGTCCAAATCCCTGCTCAGACAGAAAACCCTATATCATTTCAGGCAAATGGTTGCCCAATCTTAAAAACCTGCAGTGTTGGAGCACCCACAATTCTGGAGGCAAGTCGTTCCACTGTTAATAATTAGTTAATAATTAGTTCTAGGCTGGTTCTTTCCTTTAGTTTCCATCCATTCCTTCTTGACCTGCCTTTGGGTACTTTGGAGAATAGGTTGACCCTGTTTTCTTTGAGGCAGCCTGTCAAATATTGGTACACTGCTACCATGTTATCCCTAGACTTCTTTTCATTAAACTAGGCATATCTAATTCCTGCAACCATTCATATGTTTTAGCCTCCATCCCCCTAATTATCCTTCTTCTCTGCATTCTTTCTAGAGCAAAGGCCTTCAAATTTGGCAAGTTTAAGACTTGTGGATTTCAACTCCTAGAATTCCTGAGCTAACATGACTGGAGGAGGAATTCTGGGAGTTGAAGTCCACAAGTCTTAAAGCTGTCAAGTTTGAAGACCCATGTTTTAGAGTCTCAATAACTTCGTCATTGTGGTGACAAATGGATGCAGTATTCCAAGTGTGGTGTTTTACATTCAGTTTTGGTTGGATGGTATGAAAAAGATATTGAAACAGACTGGCGCATACCATCTCCTCAGAACTTTGGGGCATAAACTGGAACATTCCAGAAAAGCTCCTAAAACCATGTCAAAATAACCCTGAATCAGAAGGACTTCTGTCCTGTCTGTGATTACATCACTCCAGAATGTCCTCACTTGCAGAGTGAGAGATACCTTGTTCAATGGATCACTTCTTAAGCTGCTTTTTTTTTGCCTCAGGCTGCAATTACCTGATTACAGGTAGCCTTTGACTTATGACCACAATTGAGCCTAACATTTCTGTTATTGAGGCATTCGTTTAGTGAGTTTTGCCCCATTTTATGACCATTCTTGTCAGGGGTGGGATTCAACCGGTGTTACTACTGGTTCAGCGTAACGTTTAGCTTTGTCTCATAACCCACCAGAAGCACATTAAACAAATAGGTAGTACCAAAGCATTCCTTTCAAAGTGTATTCTCCATAGTGTACTTGTTTGCTCTCTTGTAATCTTATCTAATAAGTATAAATCATCATCACCATCATAATCATCAATCATCATCATCATTTTATTATCTGTCTGTCAACTGCAGGATATTGGCCTCTTCCACATGTTTCCAACAAATATGGTCCTGAGATTCGGGGACTGAGGGCCGTTTTTAAGGTTGTTTTGGCATGTGGAAGAAATAGATCATAATTCATCATGCTAGTCCTGTAGGAAGTTAGCACCCACCCCTCTCCTAGAAGAATGAAATATCCTAGGAAATATTAAAAAGGCAGAATATTTCCCCTAAAAAGAGTACAAACTCAGAAGCAGAAACTCACCCCAGAAGCAGAAGCTGACCCCCACCCTTGTTAATGGGCAGGCCATTAAGGCCTGGGCCAGAGTATTCTACATAATAACAAAGGCCCATCTCACCCCCTGGTCTGGGAAGATTGCATCACTCAGATTGCCAGCACTCAGGTGAAGCCTTGTGGTCCAGACAAAGCCTACAAAGTTAGCTAAGACCCCCGCCCCTGGGAGTCTGACAGCCAATGGGATACATTTCTTACACAGGAACAGGAAACACTAAGGTGAGGCCCCACAGAGGGTATATAACTAAGGGACTCTCAGCATCTCAGCCTTTTTCATTCTTTCTTCACCCAAGGCATGTGATCCTGCCACCATTAAACCATCTTTCCAAACAGTCACCATGTTTCCAGTGTCTTTCTTCCCCACTTGGAACGGAACCCAGAAGGATAATTCTTCCATCAGTCCAATGGGGCTTGGCAGATGTGACCAGTGTTAGTTTGGAGTATCCATCATGACCTGTTCACTTTGGGGAGACCTTCTGGACATATACATGTCTAATAACATAGCCCCAAGACTTCATTTATTCACACAAGCCCCTTCACCTCATCAAGGCCTCGATCATAGAAGTATAAATACAAACATTCATTTGTTGGACTCTTACCACTCAGTTTTCATCAATCGTGTCACAGGATATTGTTTAAAAATAATATTCAACAATAAAGAAAGCAATTTAGGAGGGGTCTAGCTGTTCCTGGGCAGCTTCAAATCAGAGTTGGGATTGGTTCTTGTTACTTTTCTCAGTTATATTTTGATCTGATTTCCAGTATGTCCTTGTTTCAGTCCATCATAGTGCACTAGTGCATTCTCTATGCACCAATATGTTCAAATTGAGTGTCTATTTTTTAAAATAAAACTTGCACATACATCATATGGCTGATCAAACCCAATATTCATCATGATGATTTGTGAAAGTTATAGCTAGGCAAGCCTGCAAAGAAGTTTACAAGCCTGGGCTTGCTCTAGTTCATCCAGCCCTTGGTGCCTGTTTATACAAAATACCCTTCCAACATTGGTTACAGCTGATACAAATGTTATTTTTTAAATTATTGATCTTTCTTTTCCATAGATATTTCTGACATGAAGAAACTTCTGTTGATTGATGCTGATTGTGGTGTTGATGATGCTCAAGCTATAATGATGGCTCTTGCAAATCCCAGTGTAGAAGTCCTGGGGATTACTTGCACTTATGGGAACAACCTGTTGGAAAATACATCTAGAAATGTGCTGCGTGTGTTGCAAGTTTGTAATAAGCTTGAGGTAATTGCCCCAACTGAACCAGCCAACACATTTGGCATAGCACTGTGTGTGAGACTCACAAAATCAGATATTGGCATGTGAGACGGGTGCTTATTTACTTATGTTTAAGATTCACTTTATGCATGAGAAGTGTGGCTGCATCACTAGTTTTCAAAAAGCGGTTGCTTGATTTTATAAAAAGATATTGATGTGTCTGTTTTAACAATACATATGATTTCTTGTATGGGGTTACACTAACTTTATGGTTTGCAGTAGGAACTATTACCACTATGATTTATCATTATGTGTGTTCATAGTTTTGATCCGAAGTGGAAATTTTAATGTATTTATTTGCTTGTCTTCATAGCAATCCATATAGGATTTTCCAGATTGAGGAAGAATATAATTATTACTTAGCAATAATACAGACACTTGTGCTGCTTTCTTTCATTCCCACTTGACCTTCCAAGCAACAGCATGGCAGAGTTGCCAAAAAAAAAAAAAGCTACCACTTAACATAAGCTTGGGAGATGATGGAAGGAGAATGGAGGAAATGTGTGTTTTGGATCTCTTCAGCCATCAGCAAACACAATATGGCTGCCAAATGAAAGATGTTTTCCCTTCAGAAGAAGTGGATGGCCCAAAAGAAGAGGGGGAGGGGAAAATGTAGGGAGACAAAGCACTCACAGGTCATTTTTATCTTTTTTTTTTTAGAAAGTAAGGTTTTTTTATTTTGCTTCTCTCCACAGAGGTATAAACGTTTTTAAATGTGATAAAATAAGCAAAGATAAATCATATGAATCTGAGTTGCTTGAAATAGAAAAGTGGATGGCTGGACTCATAGAGCAATTCAATTATTTTATACTGTTATTTAATTTTAGGGAGATCAATAGTTCTTTAAAATTCATATTCTATTGACATCTTTTCATATCTAGATTCCAGTTTATCCTGGTGCTCCTGCTCCTCTACTTGGTGGACCTGTTACAGGGGCACTGTTTCATGGTAAAGATGGATTGGGTGATGTTCCTGATCCAAATGCCCCAGGAACAGAACTTCTGCAGAAAGAAAATGCTGTGACTGCAATATTAAGAATAGTCAATGAGCGACCAGGTCAGGTGAGATGGTACAGGTACCATAAATATTTATCATAAATGTGGAATAGAATAAGGCCTTGCTTCACCTTCCATGCTCCCAGGAATCTGAATTCTAGCAATACATTTTTAATAGGGCTGCAAAAATCTGCATGGCCAGTACATGCAACATTTTTTTCTGTATCTCTTTTCTATCACAACTTGTGGTTGTCTAGAATTTGCAGCCCATGTATTACTTGTATGCCGCCTGGCATTCAGAGACTTTGGATGGATATAATAGATATGGAAGATAAGGTAGCCCTACTATTAATACAAGAAACCTAGAAAGGAAAAACAGAGACATCAGAACAAGGAAACAACTAGGCTGTACCAAATGGAGTTACAGTACATTCCTTATGAGTACAGCAAAATATATTTTGACTTTCAGGTCAAGATGTACTTATTATATTATTTCCAACTGGACCACCCAAACATATGATCAGATATTGTCTCCATAACAACAGTTTGATCTAAAGAAGTAAGGCCTAATCAACTACAAAAAAATTAATATAGTCTTACAGTTATGTGCTTTTAAAAATATTCAATAAATAAATAAATTTATTTTTAGGTATCTCTGGTTGCTCTTGGTCCACTGACGAATATAGCACTAGCAGTGAAAATGGACCCATTACTTCCCAAGAAACTTAAAAATTTGTTCATCATGGGAGGAAATACTGAATGTAAGTGAACTCAAGAGGACCTATTTGACATGTTTAGATCTGCCTAATTTGGCAGATCCATGCTAAAAATTCATTTTAATCTGTTTGTTCATTTTTTATGGGAAAAAACTAATCATACTGTCTAATTCTGGCTGATAAAGTCTGACTGACTATTTTAATTCAAGTCATGCTACCAAGTGTATGTATGGGTTTGTGTCCTAAACATATTAACTCATATATGAGTAATAAGATAAAGTGAAATAAATAATCATAGCAGTTATCCAAGGCAGTAATTCATGATGCACATGGCTATCACAATCGAATTATGCTTAATTTCATCTTATGTGGTGGTAGAATTACATCATTTGGGGAATGAAAGCTACAGCCATAGTGTATTGGACCTCAGGAAAGCTTTTAAGAACTTGCCTTGTGATATTCTTCCTTCATGGAATAGTAAACTATGGCTAGAAGGTGCTTCTATTTAATGGACACTGTATAACGACTGTGCTTAAAGAATGTTCATCAATAGCTCCAGTTCAGCCCGGAGGGAAGTATTGAATGGAATGCCATAGAATTCTGTTTTGGGTGTTACTGTGTGACATTTTTATCTATGAATTTGATGAGGGAATTGAGAGGACTCTTACCAAATTTCACAAAGCTGGGGAAATCGAATAACTTTAGATGAAAGACGATTCAAGAAGATAGGTTTGCAAACTGAAACCTATAGGGTGAAAATGAATGTAGAGAAATATAAAGTAACAGTATGATGCAGTTGCTGAAAAGGTATATACTATCTTGGCTACGTGAACAGGAGCATAGAGTTCAGCCCATGCAAAGTAATTGTTCTATTCTGCCAATGAAATCCTATTTGGAGAACTATGCCCTGTTCTGGGCATCACAGTTAAAAAAAAAAAGACAATGACAAATCGGAGAAGGCTACTAGGGCTCCTGAGTTGCCAAGAATCTGGAAACCAAGTCTTATAAGAACAGATAAAGGATTTAAGTATGTATAGAGAAAATACATGAATTTGGTCTTCAGTGATTTAAGTGGAACCCAACAGAACATATTATGGATTTATTCTAGACCAGAACCAGTGAGTTAAAATACAAGAAAGATTCTGATATTTTGTAGCTGAGGATTGAAATGAGGAATCCGTGGTGCTCTTTGAGCCTGATTGTTTTCTTGCAGATGTTTCCTTACCCAAACTAACATCATCCATGCTAGTACTAGTGACTTGCCCTGTCAGAGTTGGTGGGAGTGGTCTTGGAGGTTCTTTGATTGGGCTAGCTTATTCTGGCAATTCCTTGCCAAAATAAGATAGTTTATTTAGCTTAAGCTTATTTAGCTTAAGCTAGTTTAATTATTGCTAGCTTATTTTGGCAATTCCATGCATTAGTTAGATGAATGAATTATACTTCATGTGCAAATAAATTTATATGTGATAAAAATTTCAATTTATAAACTAAGTGACTGTCTGGATTTTTGCAAATCAGCTAGAGTAGTCCTAAAATTTCACATTGCCAATAAAATATGTTTTTATATGAGCATGATGTTTACATATCAGATTATACATAAATTCATTCCAATTCATCAACTTCAGCAATGAAATGCTTTTTCTAAAGAAACGTCTTTGCTTCCTTTAGCCAGAGGAAATATTAAAGTGTGTGGAGAATTCAATTTTGCAACTGATCCTGAAGCTGCCTACATTGTCTTAAATGAGTACACCTGCCCAATGTATATTGCAGCCTGGGAGTTCACCTGTGCCTGCTCGCTGCCCTGGGTAAGAGAGTTCTCCACTCTTTTGTCTATGCTGGGAGTTAGTTTCACTGAATTCAATGGGTTTTATTCTGTGTAGGAGGTAGGTTTTAATTAACTAGATTGCATAGGCTCACTCTATTCACTTCTGAAATGGCGCCAGAAATTAAGAAACTTTGATATCAGTACATATTACAATCTTCTTCTCTAGTTTGGAATAGTAAGGCTTTGTTTCTTTTTCCCCTCCCCAAGTCTTCACTGTGGCCTTTAACAGATAACAGATAATAGATAACAGATAATCAGAGTTGGAAGGGACCTTATAGGTCATCTAGTCCAACCCCTTGCCCAAGCAGAGACCCTACACCATTTCTGACAATGGGAGTCCAATCTCTTCTTGAAGTCTCAAGTGATGGTGCTTCCACAACTTCCAAGAACAAGCTGCTCCATTGGTTGATTGTTCTCACTGTCAGAAAATTTCTCCTAATTTCCAGGTTGAATCTCTCCTTGTTCAGTTTCCATCTGTTATTCCCTGTCTGGCCTACAGGCGCTTTAGAAAATAGCTTGACCCACTCCTCTCTGGGGCAGCTCCTCAAATATTGGAAGACCACTATCATGTCTCCCCTGGTCCTTCTCTTTACTAGTTCGTTGTATGTTTTAGCCTCCAGTCCCCTAATCATCCTGGTTGCTCTTCTCTGTCCTTTTTCTAGAGTCTCAACATCTTTTTTATAATGTGGTGACCAAAACTGGATGCACTACTCTAGGTGTGGTCTTACTAAGGCTTTATAGAGTGGTATTATTAGTACTTCACTTGATGTACTAATTTACTTTAGGAGTTTCTGTATTACAAATTCCTATCTGCTCTCCAAGAATTTAAGGCAATGCACACGTTTTCTCTGTCTCTCATGGCAGCCTTGTGAGCCATCATAGTCTGAGAGACAGTGACGGTTTTAAAGTCTTCTAATCAGCTTTTGAAATTTAAGTAAAATCTTCCTAATTCAGTCCTAAATCCTAAAGACTACACCATTCTGACTTCTGGTGGAACGTTGTAATACAGGCTAGGATAGTACATTTATTGTCTGTATCCATTCACTGAATATGTTCAGTTCAATGGTGTAGTATTGGTTGGGAATTCAAGAAAGATACAGTGTAAATTGATGGGCTGAGATATCAAGCACTGCATAGAGGCATAGCTAGTTACAGTAATTGAAAAATCTGCTGGTGGCTTCTATATCTCTGTGTTTGATCCAGTTAGGGAGGGTTGGGTCAACTAGTTTCCCTGCCTAATTCTAAAGTAGCCTTATCTTAGTTAATAGTGTTTTCTTTCCTGCTCTGGTTCTTCAAAATCCACTGCCACCAGAATTATGCTTGGGATTGGTTCACTGAAAATTTTAAAAGGCCATAAAATGCTTTTTTTTAAATAGGACCCCATGAAATGTGTTTAATGCATATGTATATATACCCACACACTATAGAAACAGTTTTGTACTGACTGCAAGGTTTTTTTAAAAAAATCAAACTTCTCTTAAGGCAGAACATTTTATTAATACGTTAGCAGTTCATCTTTCATTAGATTTGTGCTCTCTATAGTAGTAAACTTATTTTTCCTGTTTGGGAGGCTTACATGGCAACATAGATCAGTGGTGGGATTCAATTATTTTTACTACTAGTTCTGTGGGCGTGGCTTGGTGGGCGTGGCAGGGGAAGGATACTGTAAAATCTTCAGTCAGAGGAGGGATTTGCCGGTTCTCCAAACTACTCAAAATTTCCACTACCGGTTCTCCAAAACTGGCCAGAACCTGCTGAATACCACCTCTGACATAGATGCCTTAGGCCTTCCTCAAAGTCCCCAAAACAAAATGGGGCAGAAAATCCAAGGCTACTGGTTCCAGTGATATAGTATTATTGAGTCTGCTTCTTTTGGCTTATAATAAGCAAGGTAGATGTGACTCTTTCAGGCTGATTGCCCATTGATCTGCCATTTTTCCACCCAGATAATTCCTTCTTTGGCTGGGTTTTAATGTTCAACATTGTTTTTTTTTCCTTCCTAGGAATTCTACCATGAATGGGTGAATCAGAATACCGAGAAAGCCAGGTTCATGAAGAAAATATTTGCTCATTCTTTAAAAATGGCAAAACCTGACTTAGGCTTTGTTTCTTGCGACTCTTACGCTATGGCTGCTGCCATTGATGAAAACTTTGTCACAGAAGTCACAATAATTGGCGTAAGTGTTGAGCTCAGTGGCTCTCTAACTAGAGGAATGATGGTAATGGATTGGTCTGACCATCTGAAAAAGGAACACAAAGCATTTGTAATGAAAAACTGTGATTTAGGGAAATTCCAGGCACTTATGATGGATGCTTTGAAATAAAATGGGCTTATTTAACATAATATTTATGTTAAGTTACTGCTGCTGGGCAAACCAAGGTTTGCCTGAAACACTATAATAGCTACCCATGCAGAGGTTCTAATTAAATTCTTTAATTGTTCTGAAGAATAAAATAATCTTTTAACATTTTTGCCAGCATGAAAGATATACATTGAACTTCTTTTTCTCTTCCTTTGCACTACAATTGATTGAATCCTGTTCACTGAGTCATCTATAGTCATGAACTCTTCAAGATGATAAGAATTATGCATCCTTAGGTATTATTTATGAAGGGATCCTTTGAGCAAACAGTATAAATTTAAAAATAAATAAAATAATGTCTCCAACATGATGTCTGTCTTCCCCCTTCTCTGACGCTCTACCAGATGTTGATACAGGCACAATTTATATTATGTGTTTCTTAAAAATGTGTGCCAAAACCCCTTCATAAATCTAAAAATAATTAATATGGTCAATTTTAATGGAGATATAGTATTTGGTTTTGGTTTAAAACATTCACTTATAATTAATAATTTATAAAAGCTTTCTTAAAAGAGCAGATAATAAATAGCAGTTAATCCCTTGATATGTTCACATTATTTCATTTGGTACAAGTTAGAAACAAGGATAGTGTAGAAAATGATGCTGCATATTCATAGTGACATTGCCACAGATATCTTCCTGTGGTGAGATTAGACTAGCAAATAGGACCGACATTCTAAAGCAAGTTGTCCCTTCTGTTCAAGACTTGGGTAGATGAACCCAAGTCTTGTGTGTGTGTGTGTGTGTGTGTGTGTGTGTGTGTTACTGTTCCAGTGAGCAGGATCCTTCTGATTCCATATGTATAATTGGATGCCATTTTTAGTGTACTACTTGGTATATAACTGCTTGTATTATAGTTGTCTTCTGCTTCTAGTGAGCTAATTGATATTTTTAATAACTGCCATTGGTATGAGAAGCATAACTTACTTTAAAACTAATAACTGTTAATAAAACAATGGCAAAATTACTGTATACTTTTCTTATGCACTTTTGCAATTATTATGCTGATATTATAGAAAACAGTCAACAAGAGGTAATGTAATTATTTGCTGTAATTATTTGTAGAACTATTATGTTAAGGTGAATGTTGTTATGACCTAAGGCATAAATTTCAAGCTAATCAAGGTATACCAACAGAAAATGTGAAAGATCCCATTTGCTCAAAGAACTCCTTTGTTTGAAATAATTGCTCTTTCCCTACGCAATATGATTTGTGCTCATTTAGCAGAATATGCCAAATCTATCACTTACTAAAATCCTTTCCAGTCCCACTATATCCAAGAAACTGTGGTGGCGCCAGGTCCCATAGATCCCTATCAGGACACTGCCCTTCTGGTGGGGAGGGCCTGGATGCATTCCTCACTTTGTAACCCTTTTCCTGTTGCATGCCTATCCTGTACTTCGATTTACCATCCTGGGAATGCAAAGGGGAAGGGAATGGCTAGAGGGCCCTCTGTTTTACCTCAGCACTGGAGCCTCCAGCAAGCAATGTGTGAGAACAACTTCTTATCACCTTCTCAGCCTGAGGTTCTCAACACAACTTTGCACCTGTGGATTGGCTTGCCCTGTACTGGACTGAGAGAGTGTGTGTGACTCTCTCTTTTAATCTAACAGAAATGTCTGGGAATCCTCAGATCCTGCCTTCTCTTTATTGCTATCACTTTGTCCCAATAAAAGTTTCCTTTTGAAACTATTTTGAGAGTTTTGCTTTCTTGAGGAGAGGGGAGAGGCAAGCCTTTATAGGTGGGATGTAGTGCCTAATTGCAGAAGGAAGTACACCGCACCATCCTAGGCTGCATCACAAATGGCAACATTTAATATCTGATGCGCAGCCCATATCATCCCGAAAGGTATTTTTAGTGAAGCAACCTAAGATAAAAATGTTATTTGCTCTAAATTCCAAAGCAACCTCCCTTTTTATAAAGAACGCATATAGATTCTATAGAGCAAAGTCTCTTATAGACTAAGGGTTGACATGATAGCAGTGTTCCAATATCTAAGGGGGTTGCCACAAAGAAGAGGGAGTCAACTTGTTCTCCAAGGCAGGACAAAAAGCAATGGATGGAAACTAATCAAGGATAGAAGCAACCTAGAACTAAGAAGAAATTTCCTGACAATTATCAGTGGAACAAATTGCCTCCGGAAGTTGTGAATGTCCAACACTGGAAATTTTTAAGAAGAGATTGGACAACCATTTGTCTGAAATGGAATAGGGCTTCGTGCCTGAGCATGGGGGTTGGACTAGAAGACCTCGAAGGTCCCTTCCAACTCTGTTATTCTGTTATGTTTTCTAAACAGAAGGACTAATAAGCTCCTTTTATTCTTATGGGCTATTTTGCCCCACTTTCTTGAAATTAGGACAGATGCTTTGCTAAAATAATTAGCTGGCAGACATTCATTCTTATTGCAATGTTTCAGTGGAAGATATTTAGATTACAACCCATTCTAATTCAATATAATCTGAGCTAACTAAGCAAGTGAACCAATCACCATTTTCATTTTTTTTCTTTCCTCTTTTTCCTTCTGTTTTATTTACTTTTTAATTCATGTACATTAGACTATGTACCCAAAGGGAGGGATCCTGGAAACATTTTTACATTAAGAGCAAAGGAATGTGCACTAAGTAAATAACTAAAACTTATAACATCATCTTGGGCTAGAGTCAAGTAAGGGAACTAATGAAATTTAATCTTAGCATAACTACGTTTGGAGCCATTCTTAACCACAGAAAAATAAGAATAGTAGAATGTTAGGTAGCCATAAGATGGCCCTGGTGGTGTTTAATTGAGAAGAGTAAAGTTGTTCAAGGCAAAGAAATGAAAATAAAATTCCAGGAACCCATGTTGATAGAGCTTGCTCCAGAGGTGGTATTCAGCAGGTTCTGACCAGTTCTGGAGAACCAGTCGTGGAAATTTTGAGTAGTCCGAAGAACCAGCAAATACCCCTGATTGGAGATTTTACAGTATCCTTCTTCCCCTGTCATACCCATCAAGCCAGAACTGGTAATAAAAATTTTTGAATCCCACCACTGGCTTGCTCCCTCAATTAATTGGCTTCTCTCAGTTTGTAGAAGGACTGTGCATGAAGCAAGGGTTTTGCCTGCATCTTCTTTCAAACGAATCTTAATCTGAAACCTTGTTTGATTTGCAGTATTGTTCAACATGTTACTAAACAGTAAATCCTAAGCGGATACTGTGCTGCCCAGAGTTTTGCACTCATACATTTCAAATAAATCCTGCCATTCAACAGGATAACATTCAGGTGCAAAAGATGGTAATAACAGACATACCATTACACTTTTGTAAGAGAGAGATCCTTAAGAACCAATGTCGTTTTTTAAAAGGATTTTTTCTTTCCCTTTTCAAAAAAGAAAAAGAAGGAAAAAGAAAGAAAGAAAGCTTGCAAAGTTGGGCCAGAAGACGCGTATTCCAAAAAGCTCAGAACTAGTTCTATGGCTGTCCTTCTGACATCTGCACTTTGTCCAGTTTTTATTTCTCTAACCAAGAACTACAGTTCCCAGCGGGGAGGATTCTTACACTATTCTAACCATTCAAAAATACTTTCCTCTCTTTTCTGTTTAACTATTATTTTTATTAGCAACAATCCTATGGTCCTATTTTAGGGTTCCCTAATTCTGGGGCCCCGTGATTGGCTCCAAAGCAACTTAGTTCTGATTAGTCAAGGAGTAATTAAGGAGAGGAGCAACTTAGAACTAAGGAGAAATTTCTTGACAGAACAATTAATCAGTGGAACAACTTGCCTCCAGAGTTGTGAATGCTCCAACACTGGAAATTTTTAAAAAAGATGTTGGATAACCATTTGTCTGAAGCGGGTGTAGGGTTTCCTGCCTAGGCAGTGGGTTGGACAAGAAGACCTTCCAACTCTGTTATTCTATTTCTCGTGAGTAGTTTTGGGGGAGCATTTTCAGTACCAACTTTAGAAATGAAGCTTTATTATATGTATTGTTCTTCAACTATCTTTTCAAAACAAAAAAGACGTGCTGAAAAAAATTATATCAATATTTCACTTCGCTAAACAATTATTTCAAAGGCAGTGGTGTCAACTTTACCTCCCAAGAAAAAATACCGCTGCACACTTTCTATCCAACCAAATTGTGAGAACCACTTATTATTTATTCATAATGTTATCCTTCTGTTCCAATGTGCCTAAGGTAGCATGTTTATTTTTTAAAAAATAACAGGGGCATTGAATGTTAAACAAATTGAAAATATGCAAACAAGATTTAGGAAGGCTGCATTCTCCCTTTACAAAAATTGCATGGATTTTAAGAGTAAGAATTATCTACTTGTAGGTTTTCAGCCAGTTTAGAAAAGATGTTTGAAATATTAAATAGCATGTCCATTCTTAAAACAGATTTTGGAAAGGACAGAAATCCTTCACAAATGAGGAGACAATAGTTAGGAGAAATGAAAGTTGCAATGGGCAGGTTAATGATGATGATGGGCAGGTAAAAATGATGGTGCCAGGATTTCTCGTTTTCTTCATTTTTGGTGGTGGGATATTCCAGAAGTGAATTAGGATTTTTGGCTGAAAGTTCCCTGCTCTAAAGTGAACGCTATTGTGCAGTGTTGGGGAAAAAAGTCTGCAATTAGAGTAACTACTGGAAATGTGCAATATGCATTAACACTGGTTTAAAAACATCTCTCTGATGTAACAGATTACTCCGAAAGACAAAATCTAGCTTTCTACATAAGAGCCAATTTGGTTCTATTCCTGCCTTAGACACAAAGTCAGCTGGATAACCTTGAGCGACTATCTGTCTCTAAGCAGGAAGAAGCAGACAATGACAAACTATTTCTGAAAAACCTTGCCAAGAAAACTGTAGGATTTTGCTTGTCCAGACAGTTATCACAAATCGACTCATACCTCCTCCAAACTTATTAATTCCACCCCCCCTAGAATATCGGTCTTATTTTCCTAGCCCCGAAAATATGTTCAGGCTTTTTGCTCCTGGTATGTAACCAGTATCCCACGCAGAATGTTTCACAGCCAAGGTAAATAAGACTTTCTTCCATGGTGGATGTATGAGAGATAATATGTTGTTTGGTGACTCAGCTGCAGCAGCTGTCACAAAACTGCCAGCCAGCTCACTTGTAGCTGCCATTTAAAAAAAAAATGTTTACATGGCAGAGTTATTTTTATACAATGTTTTCCTCCACTGTGAACTTTTAGAATGATCAGGGTTTACTATGGTCCAACAGCTCAGGCAGCAAACTTATTTAAGATGACCTAGATTAAAGGAAAGCTTGTTCTATGATTAAACTATGATTTATTACATAAATCTTAACCCAAACTGTGCCAAATGTTTAAAATTTAAACATACTTCAAAAGGTACATAAGAAAGACATAACACAAACATGAAAAAAGCATTATTTATTTTTCAGTACAACTCAAAAGTTGTATTGGTAAAAAAGCACAAGGAATCTTGTGTCATCCACAAGTATTGGCTATGCACATTTCAGTTCAACATAAAAATGCATTCAGGTTTACAAATGTACAAACAGACACATAAAATGTATAGTTTGAACAGAATGCTCTTAGATTCAGCCATTTTTGCTCCTAATATTTTTACATTCATAGAGTCTTTTAACAAAGCTTTGTTTTTTTTAAAAAAAATACTCTGCATTTTTAGCACGAGATGCTCCTTAAAATTAGGTTTGGGGCATAATACTGGAAAAAAATTAAATCTTGCTTGGTAGATGAAAATCATTGTATTTTTTTTAAACCTAGCAAATGTTTAAAAATTTAAACAGTAGATGGTAAAAAGCCAGAACCACAATCCTAGCGCAGTAGATGACTGCACATAAAGATTCGCCAATCAGATCAGCAATTTCACACTACCATAATTGTGAGACAGACTTTTAGAGGAGTAAATAATGAATGTATGATTAGACTTTAATGGTTTTGTTGGGAGGAACAAAGAGAAAGAATAGGAACAAATGGCTTGTGAGTTATGTTTCAGGCATGTTACAGAATTTACCATGATCGCATCTGAATAATTACAGTCATTTTATTTTGCTTAATTTCAATTTTCAGATGGGTAATGCACATTAGGCCAAGGATCTGAGCTTCTTCTCCCAATTGCAGGACTCCAAATTAGCCAAGGATTATACGGTTGTCCCAACTCTTCCGAACTGTTTACTGTGGATGCAGTAACAGGGGAGGATGGGGTGTTTTCACTCCCAAGGTCGATCCCTGGCAAATGGTGAGCTGGAGTGTTGAAAGGAAGGGAATTGTTCAAATTGCTTGACCAAATGGAACTGCTGAATGGAGTGGTAGACCACAGGCCATTTGGGTTGCCAAGGATAGTCTGAATTATTTAAAAAAGAAACACAATATATTTATCATACACATCATCATAACTACCAGGTTAAAAAATGTTATTTTTTCAGATTTTATTGAATATTTTTTAATATATTGAATGTTAAGATGCAGGACTCATCTGCTTACTCAACAGTTTGAACCATAGAATTGACTTGGAGAAGAAATGCAAAGGCTATTAGAAAAACACAAATTAAGTCTGAGAGCATAAGAAATAAACTTGCCTTGGCTATCTTTGCTATAAGAAATTGGAAAGGAAAATGGTGCTGGGCATTCAAAATCCGGTTATTATAGTCTATCAGTAAGGTGGAGTTCCAGCATTTCTTATGGAGTCTAT